TCTCCTCCCCTCCCCTTTTTTTGCTTAGTGGCAGAAACAATTTTAAAAACAGCTCCTATTTAAATTGCCATGCATGCCTGTCAGAAGAAGGATTTGGCAACATTGCCGAGTATTTTCAGCCCCTTTCTGGAGTAAAGGAAGAATAATGGTTTGAAAGAGTATGTGTGAAGAGCGCTTTGTGGGAGAGTCAAGTGGGAAGCGAGGAGATGGAGAAAGCAGACCAGCACTCTAGCCGTGGGGACCAGGAGACAGCACTCTTCCTGCCAGGCCTGGTGCGAAACAAGAACAAAAATAGTTCCTGAAAATAGACTATATAGAGGCATATTGGAAAGCTGGGCAAGTTTTTAAAATTAACACTCGGGAGGGGGCTACCTGACATGGGGGGGGTTCTTGACAACACATGGCAGTCACATGTTACGGACAAGATGACACTAGGAGGTGAAGGCCTGGATAATTAGGGGCATCCTTTCTCATACTGTGAAGGCTGGGAAGGACATCTTGATTTCCACAGACCAATATGCTCAGCTAGAGGACTGCCCTGCCACCGTGTTCTGATCTGTAACAATGCCTGGAAGAGCTTTTCCAGTACAGTTTGGCATGAGGAGTGGACTTCTCCCAGCGCTAAGTGTGCTGACTGGATTCTGTGTCCATGCACCAGTGTAGAATTTGTACCATGATGCTGCTGGCATTTTAGCAGTTAAGTGTCTGTCTACCCTGTACACAGCAGACAGAAATAAAAGAATCCTTCACCTTTTTGTCAATGGATACAAGTTCAAGTTTGGAGAAGTTGTCCTTTGCCCCTTTCCCTGCCCTATCAGCCATAGGCTGTCTTCAGTGTTCAGCATGGCTCCTTCAGCAGGAATGCTCCTGAAACACAGCCTTGTCCCTTCTGGCCCTGGTGGTTGGTTGGGAAGAGGTAACACAACTGTTGCCTTCATACCTGGGTGTTGGAAGAAAACAGTTAGGCCCAGGATATGGAATTAAGTGGGTCCCCTGGACTCTGCGCGTCTTTCCCCTCCAAGTTACACCCGTGACATGCACTTACTCCTTCATTAAACACCCACAAGTGGGGCTCTGTCCCAAGCTGGCCAACCTGCCCTTCCTTGTAAAGAAACCTGAACTTCGGTGAGTTACACTTAAGTTCTCTCATGCCTGTCTGCAGCTCAGTTCCTGAGAATGCCTTTTTCCACCATAGAATGCATATTTGGTCCTTCCTTCCTTCCTTCCTTCCTTCCTTCCTTCCTTCCTTCCTTCCTTCCTTCCTTCCTTCCTTCCTTCCTTCTTGTTGTTTGTTTTGTTTTCAGACAGGGACTCACTATGTAGCCCTGGCTGTCCTACAACTCACTCTGTAGACCAGGCTGACCTTGAACTCAGAGAGATTCACCTTTCTCTGTCTCCCAGTGCTGGGATTAAAGGCATGCAGCAGTATGCCTGGCTTTATTTAGTAGTTTCTTACCTGGCTGAAAAATGTCCACCTCCTTCAGCTGATACATTCATAACAAGGTTAGCCATATTTACTGTGGCACAGAAAATATGCCTCTTAAACATGGTACTATGGCACCCAAGCAGGCACTGCATGATCTACCCCAAAAGAGAGATGGACGAGTGCCATGCCAATGGAGCCTATGACAGATGCACCATCACCTTTAGCAGATAGGACATACTTCTAAGGACTGTGGCCCCCAGTCCACCTTGCTTTATCTATTAGATTGCAATCAGTGAGGACTTCTCTGCCTCTTCTCAGGTAGCAATGAAATATAGCCCCAGTTTCTTCTAAGTAGTCCTGAAACTTGCTCTGTAGACCAGGCTGGCCTTGAACTCAGAGATCCACCAGCTGCCTCTGCCTCCTGAGTGCCTGGATTAAAGGCGTGCAGCACCAGCACCAGTTATCTTTACTGTTTTCATCTTTGGATTTGAGCCTTGCATTTGTTATACACACACCGGAATTCTCACCATAGACTCTCCAGTTCTTTCAAAATGATGGTGGCAGTGATGGTGATATTGGCACCACCTTTATTTTGTGCATCTCTTTCTAGTTTCTGGAACATTTCACATGAATTACTCCCTTTGATTAAGAATAGTAACCCAAGGCTGATCTTAACATAACCATAGCTCTGATTAGAGAAAATGAACACATATTTGCATGGTTCCTCGTTGGAAGCAGGTATTCAATCAACTTCCTTATCTAGCATTCTGTGCTTTATGCCCCTGCTCTGCTGAACAGAACTGGCAGTGCCTTCAGGATGAATCAAACAAACACCTTTCCCAGCACAGCAGGTGTGGGGTTCTGAAGGTAGGCAGCTCTGGAGTGGACTCCCTTTCCCATTCTCTGTACTGTGGTCCAAAGTTTCTCATGCTGCCGAGATTTTAATAAATATTTTAATTAAAAGAGAAAAAAGAACTCCATGAATGTAAAAGTGTTGCTCTTCATGGCTCATGCAGCTCATCCTGTGTAGTTCTTCATGAGTATTGCTGGTTGCTAAGGCTCACTACCTTCTGGAGTATTCTCTAGAATCTGGTCAGCAAGCAATGCCAGCTAACCACCCCAAGCCTCTTTTTTCCCCATAGTTGTAGTTTTTATTGTTCATTCATCTCCTGCCTTCTCATAAATTTGCAAAGATTTCTGACCTTTGTCTTGAAGGCTGTTTAATATCCTGGAAGTAATTTGTATCTTTTTTCTAGAAGTTATTTAAAATGACTCCAGTACAATGTAATTAAGACTAAAACTAATTTTACTATCATTGCAATGGTAATATTTTTTAAGTAGTCTACAATGTTATCCTAAACTAGTAACTAGTTTCCATTTTTGAAATGCTTAGCACTTCTGCATATTTTCACTCTTCCAGTGCTTATTTAATGGAATCTGCCATTATTCTGTATCATATCAAAAGTATTTGTCAATCTTTGGAAACATTTTGTTAAGATTTAATTTTGTTTTTATGTGCATCTTTGTGCCCCCTGCAGCCCCCCCCACCCCGTGTGTGTGTGTGTGTGTGTGTGTGTGTGTGTGTGTGTGTGCACCATGTGTGTGCAGATGCCTATGGAGGCCAGAAGAGGGCATCAGATCCATTGGAGCTGAAGTTACAGTTGGTTTCAAGCTGTCTGACATGCTGGGAATTGAACGCAAGTCCTCTGTAAGAGCAGTAAGAACTCTTAAGCAACCAGCCATCTCTCCAGCCCCTCAGAAACATTTTAAGTTTCATATTCTTGCTGATGTACTAAAATTTCTTGTTTCCTAGTATCATTTAGTCATCGCAGTAGTGGCTTTTATAGGTATATACAATACAACAGTGAACATCTCTGAGCAAATTTCTTTTTTTTTAATTAACTATAATAGATAATGGATTGCATTGTTTAGGATATAGTATAAGCTGTACATGCCTTTAGTTCTAGCACTCAGGCAGAGGTAGACAAACGTCTGTGAGTATAAGGACTGCTTGATCTACATAGTA